ACACACACACACACACACACACACACACCAGCCCGTCATGTAGGCACACACAGCATAGGTCCACGCACACACTTCCCTGTATGCTGTATGTAGACACACACAGCACAGGTTCACACACTAACTAACCCATCACAAGGCATAAGCAGGTAAGGTAACTTGTGAAAGGGATGTAATTTGCACCCAGGGCAGATCTGGAGTCCCACGTGTAGCAGTGCTCACGTACTCCTGGAGGGAAAGAAGCCATAGTTGGGAGTGCAAGCACACGCCTGTGGATTCCCAGCATTGAGGAAGTAGAGGCAGGAGCATCACCAGTAAGAGGCAGGTCTCAGGCTACATAGCAAGACTAAATCTTCAAGGTCTTCCAGAAATAATGAGGGTCCAGGGAAAAGCCCAGTTCCGTCTTAGACAAGGGTGGCAGGGGAAGACTAGCCCCTACTGTAACATTCAAGATGAAGGTTGTCCCACATCTTACTTTGTGAGAAACTCAGGGCCAGATTCCTGGGTACGAGACATTGATTGTTTCCGTAGTCCAACCAGGGATGCGGTCTGTCCATCTACCCATCTTACCTTCCTGGTGGCCAGTTGGAAGTCCTGAGGGTCCACCTTTGAGTTCATTCCCCCGCATCCTGATCACAGTCACGGGGGTATGGGGAGGGGCTTAGGGTGGGGGGCTGTAATAATAGGTGCCTCCTGCCCGCTCTTCTCCTGACTATCTACACATTCTAGTTACTTTTTTTGTGGCTGTGACAGAGCACTGACCTGAAACAGCTCTGGGAGAAAAGGGCTCATCCTCCTCACAAGTTCCAGCCGTCAGGGAGGGAAGTCAAAGCAGGAACTCAAGCCTGGAGCTTGAAGCAAAACCCAAACAACACACGCAGCAAATGCTGCTTGCTGGCTTGCTTCCTCCGGCTCACTCTGCTGCTTAAACAGTCCAGGCCCACTAACCCAGGGACGACACACCCGAAGCAGGCTGGCTGCCTGGATGGGGAGAAAGAGCAAAGCTCGTGGGGAACCATACAACCTGTCTCAGAGGAGACAGACAGACTCGGCTCACTGTGGTGCCGTAGGGACCTCCTGATAAGTCTACAGACTGGGCTTTTGGGATGGGACCACCCACAGACTGAAGGTCAGGCTGAATACAGACAAAGATTTTTGATTTATTTTTAATTAAAAAAATGTTTTTGATCAATACTTATAGCCCCATGATGGTACACACCTGCAATCCCAGTTCGCATGTGGAGGCCAGAGGACAACTTTTAGGAACTGGTTCTTTGTGGGAATTGCTGCCCCGAGTTATATTTCCCTGCCCCCATTTGAGGTGCTTATCTGCAAAGAATCATAACTTCCCTCTGCTCCTGGAGTTGGATAAGGAAGTTTGAGTGTACCTTGATCCCTGCTGGGGTCAGGTGACAGTCCCTACTGGGGTCAGGTAACAGTCCCTTCGCAGCCCACTCTTCTTTTGGTGCCATGGTATAAAAGCTAGCCCCAGCAGAACAATAAAGAAGCAGCTGTTCCGCGTCAACCTCGTGCTCTGTGGATTCATTTAACCTGGACACCCTCCGCCGAGACTCGTGGTTCCAGACCACGCTAGTGCGGTTGTTCTTTAGTTTCACCCTGGGTTCTGGGGATGGAATTTAGGTTGTCAGGCCTGACAGGAAGCACCTTTTGTCCAGAAAAGCCATCTTGGTGGCTCTGGCTTCATCTTCTTCTGGCAGTGCTGAGAATGGAGCCCAGGATCTTGCTCGGGATCTGCAGATACTCTGTCCATGAACTTCAACCCAGTCCAGCCTGTGTATCATTCTATCTAACTGGCCCCTTGTTGAGGGACATTTGGGCTGTGTGCAAATGTTTCAAACCCTGTTGCAGGGAGCAGCCTTGTAGATATGTCCATATGGATAAACAGAACTACAGGACAGGATCACTGACGTAGAACAGTTGAGACCACCAAACTGTCCTTACAAAATATTTGCTTAATGTCAGGTGACTCACAACTCTAATCCCAGCACTTGAGAGGTTGAGGCGAGAGGATCAGAAGCTCAAGGCATGCCTCAAGAAAGAAAAAGCCTTTTGCTCCCAACAGGCCCATTGTGCTCATCGACTCACAGGAGGTATAGGTTGCTTGCATAAAACCTGAACAAGATCAAGTCAGTCAACATTCTAGCACAGAGAGAGGGGGTCGTGAGCCCTTACCCCTGACTGAGTAGCTTTTGACTGTCGATGGCTACTGGGAGAGGGACAGTCGTCTTTCTTTAAGGGTGTGGCTCCTAGTAGGCTGTGGCTCCAGTGGACAACTTAACACCCAGGAGTATTTTTTGGTCAGTATTGGGGTGGATCCAGGAAGAGTTACAGGGAGGAGCCGAGAGTGAATATGACCAAAATATATTGCATGCATATGTGAAACTCTCAAAGAACTACTAGAAATATTATATTTTCAAAAAAGAAGATAAGAGTGTCAGATGTATTGGCTCACACTTTTAATACTGGCACTCGAGAGACAGAGGCAGGTGGATCTCTATGAGTTTACGGCCAGCGCAGTCCTCAGAGCAAGTTTCAGGCCAGTCAGGGTTACATAGCGAAATCTTGTCTCAAAAGACCAATAAATAAATAATAAAAGAATGAAACTAAGCAGATATTTGAGTGAGTAAGAGTGAACAACACTGGTAAAGGTCTTGCCCAAGTTAGAGAGGCCCGGACACTGTGGGGCTGGAGCTAAGTGTGTGTGAGTTAGAGAGGCCCAGACACTGTGGGGCTGGTGCTAGGTGTGTCTGAGTTAGAGAGGCCCGGACGCTGTGGGGCTGCAGCTAAGTGTGTGTGAGTTAGAGAGGCCTGGGCACTGTGGGGCTGCAGCTAAGTGTGTGTGAGTTAGAGAGGCCTGGGCACTGTGGGGCTGCAGCTAAGTGTGTGTGAGTTAGAGAGGCCCAGACACTGTGGGGCTGGAGCTAAGTGTGTGTGTGTGAATGTGTCATCTCAAGGTGGGGCACACATTCCACGAAGTGGTAATTTTGTTGTTCAAACATAGAACACCATTCACTATGCCTAACTATCCATTGTCACACATTCTGGTTCGGTGACCAAATCTTTTCATGTGCTCTATGACTCAGGAAACAGGAGATACAGTAGATGGCTGATAAATTAAGTTTTGCACAATCCTGATATGGTGCAATGAGAAAATATCAGCCAGCTATATTCAGGAGTTAAATGTCAGATGGTGTAGGAGGTCCTTCTGTTTATGTGTTGCTTTCATTGGTTAATCAATAAAGAAACTGCTTGGCCTGATAGAGCAGAACTTAGATAGATGGAGAAGACAGAACTGAATTCTGGGAGGACAGAAGCAGAGTGAGGGAGAGACACCATGGAGCTGCCAGGTCAGACGTGCCGACTCTTTCCTGGTAGGCCACTGCCATGTGGCGATACAGATTAATAGAAATGGGTTAAATCAAGATGTGAGAGTTAGCCAATAAGAGGCTAGAGATAATGGGCCAAGCAGAAATTTAATTAATACAATTTTTGTGTGGTTATTTCAGGTGTAAGCTAGCCAGGACAGAACAAGGGGCCCCACTCCCTGTAACAACTGGCACCATGGGGTGACAAACAACCCGCTCCTCCTGCTACAGTCAGAGTCCCGCATGTCTTAGTCAGGGTGTCTATTGCTGTGAGGAGACACCATGACAACAGCAGCTCTTACAAAAAGAACCATTTAATGGGGTAGTTTACAGTTCAAGGATTCAGTCCATTATCATCATGATGGGACATGGCACATGTAGCCAGACATGATGCTGGAGAAGGAGCTGAGAGTCCTGTATCTTGTCGGCAACAGGAAGTGATCTGTCTCACTGGAAGTTACTTGAGCAAAGCCGAACCCCACAGTGACACACTTCCTCCAAGGCGACACCTATGCCAACAAAGTCACACCTCCTAATAGTGCTACTGCTTTTGGGGGCCATTTTCTTTCAAACCATCACACTATCCATGGGGTTTTTGAATTACTAGAATTAGGGCAGGGAGGGCCTCCTCAGTAATTTGTAGGTTTTTCCTCTTTATGATTTGGGAGCCCACCACCCAGCTCCCAAATAAATGAACAGAGACTTATTCTTGTTTATGAATGCCTGGCTTTAGATTGGCTTGTTTCTAGCAAGCTTTCCTTAACTTAAATTATCCCATCTACCTTTTGCCTCTGGGCTTCACCTTTCTCTATTTTATATACCTCTTTTTACTTCTTACTCTGTGGTTGGTTGTGTGGCTGAATGGCTTGGCCCCTAGCATCTTCCTCCTTCTCTCCTTCTATTTATTCTCTCTGTCAGCCAGCCCTGCCAATCCCTTCTCCTGCCTTGCTGTTGGTGGTTCAGTTCTTTATTACACCAATCAAGTGTTTTAGACAGGCAAAGTAACACAGCTTTACAGAGTTAAATAAATGTAACATAAAAGGATGCAACACATCCTTGTGTCATTAAACAAATATTCCACAACATAAACAAATGTAACACATCTTAAACTAATATTCCACAACAGTAATTGGTATTGTGAGTAAAATGATTGAAGTAGAATCTGGCTGGTAAAAAGATCACTGCTTTAACATTTGTAATTCATTGGGTTTCTTTTAGTTAAAGCTTAATTTCTCTATTTTGTGTGCGTGTACTTGTGTGTAAGTGTGCTTGTCAAGGTGAGTGTGTTTGCCATGGTGTGTGTGCTTGCCATGGTGAATGCGTTTGCCATGGTGTGAGTGCACTCACCATGGTGTGAGTGTGCTCGCCATGGTGTGAGTGTGAATATTAGAGGATAGCTTTCAGGATTTGGATCCCTCTTTCTATCATGTAGGTCCTGAGAATCAAGTTCAGGCCAGCAGGCGTGGTGACAAGTGTTTTTTCCAGTTGAGACAATTCACCTGCCCCATAACTTTCGTTCTTTTGAGGCAGGGTCTTACTGTGTGGCCCAGGCTAGTCTGGAATTCAGGATATAACCCAGGCTAGCCTTGAATTTGTGATCCTTTGTGACTGGAGTACAGGTGTGTGCCACACTTAGAGAAAGTGCTATTTTGACCCTTCCGTGGCACCAGGCCTATAGTCGGTACCAAGGAGCGTTCCACACTTGTTCTAACGGTCAGCATGACCCACAGCTTCCAGCCAGCACCCAGCCAGCAGGGTCCCCAGCTGCCAGGGAACATTTTCTGATGCGACACTGCCCTGGGGACTTGTGAGATGACTCAAGTGTAAAGGCCACTCAAAACTGGGACCTGAGTTTGATCCCCAGAATTCAATGTAAAGGAGAAACAATTGACACCACAGGGTTGTCTTCTGACTTCCACATTTGTGCCATAGCAAGTATGCACACACCCCGCTACAGTTCTCAAACTCATCATGTACACAGGCACAAACACACACACACACACATGCACACACACGTGCGCACACACACACACTTGTGGAACATTATTTTAACCAGGCAAAGATGTGTTACATTTGTTTGTGCTGCATTTGTTTCACCTTGCCTGCCTATGGCACCTGATTGGTCTAATAAAGAGCTGACCGACCAGTTGCTAGGCAGAAGAGGGATAGGTGGGGCTGCTGGACAGAGAGAATAAGTTGGAGGAGAAATCTAGAGAAGAGAGGAACAAGAGAAGAAGGAGGAGAGAACAAGAGAGGAAGAGAGGGAGATGCTTGGGGACAGCAAGGCAGTCACCAGCCAGCCAGATATAGAGACAGCAGGAAAGTAAGGTATACAGACAGAAAGAAAAGATGACAAAAAAGCCCTGAGGCAAAACCAGATAGAGAAACAGATTAAAATAAGAGCTAAGATAAATC